CGGCTGTGCTATTTCATTAAAGTGATTACTGGCTGCTTATGACTGAGTTAGTTTCAAGGGGTTGGAAGTTTATGATTGCTTGAAGTCTATTTATCTGATCTGTTTCTTCTGTTTTGAATGTCAGTCTTGCAGACTGTGGTTAGGGGGGTGAGACAGAAAGAAAACCCATTATCAGCAGGCAAGTCGCAGTACAGGGGCCCTGAATGCTTCAAATTTTAAAATGTTGAAAGCCGTACATTGATGCAAGCCGGCCGATGTCTTCCTGTCGAAAGAGGAAATATTCTGTCTCCAGGAGGGAAGATACAGAAACACAAGTAACGTGCTTCAATTCTGCAGATTCCCAATTGCTTTAGAGTTTAGTGATTTGCCAAATCAAAGCCTGAATTATGTTTTTTGAATAGGGAGATTGAAGTCTTGGAGAAAAGGAAGACTTTACAGAATGTGCTGGTTTTCATGCTAAAAAATGTTTTTGTTTCTAATAATGGATCTTTACAGTGCTGGGGAGCATTCCTGTTTTCCTCAGCCTTTTTCAATATCCAAACATGTTTGCTGGGTTGAATTTTATATACAAGCTTTTCAATACCCTGCCCTTTGCATTGTCAGGAAGGTTGCAGGAGGGCATATTCTTCTCATATTTGTATTGGTACAGTTAAGTTGAAATCATTGAGAACTGAAGAGTGCAAATAGACCCTTAATATTATTTTAACGTGATTTTGTGCATAATTTAGTTAAATAATGCAAACAAAATGAAAAATAATTTCGAGGAAATGGAGAAGATATTGTTTCTCAATTTTTGCTTGGAAGATCTCTGGAGTGAGAGCTATACCCTATAAGGGAATTGGGAAGTTATTTGGCGACTTGCCTAAAAGCCACTTCAGACCTGTTCATGAATTTGGATGGCAAGCCAATGTCCATTTTAATTCACAGAAGTGCTTAGAAAAACAACAGAATTTATTAGCCTATATCCAGGAGAGGTTAAATTCACATTCATTCTGTGCTGGAGTAGTAACAGCTGCTGTGAGGATTAGCCTTTTGGCTGGTGGGATGAAAGGAAATATTAACTATACTGCAGATGGAAGTGGAGCAGGTTAACGTAACATATAAAGTAATATCGATTTATCTTGGATAGGTTGATTATATTTTATTTATGGTTTGTATTTGTAGTGAAGTAACAATTTTAAATAGGATGGTTTATATTGGTATACTTAAAAATACAGCACCAGCTTGAAGAATCAATGGTGCAAAAATTGGTAATGAAATAAAGAATCTTTCCTTGCTTTTGTTACTATTTTGAATGCATCCCAGGACAGTTGCTGTTGGAAATTACAACCATCTGATGACGAGTGGATGTCCCCTGTGAAACACATTGGTGGTCTAAGTCTGGATTCTATTGGAAAAGTGTCAATACAAAATCACCTCCACAGTTGGCATTAATTTCCTTTTTGTTGGTGGTTTTGTTAGGAGCTTGCATTGTTGCTTTGCATATTGAACTGATGAAATAAGGGTCTGTAGTTTACCAGTCTTTCTGAATAATAAATATGTCAAATTAGTAGTAAGAAGTTGTTAGGAAGGAAGAATTCTTTCTTGGAAAGAATGCAGTGAAAAATACAAAATGTAAGGGTTGGTAACTGTGCATCCAGCTGCTGTAAGAAGAAACAGTGAATCCAGTCAGGCTGTGTACATGTCCACAGTTGATGACATCACCTTTTAAAAATGAATGGTGGGTTCTCTTGTTCCTGATAAGAAAGAATCTGGCAATCCTGTGGAACGTTTTTGAGGGACATAATGGACCAGCCTGGAAGCTCTTTTTACTAAAGCTGCATGGATTAGTCTGAAGAGAAATTATTTTTCGCAGAGAAGGCAGAGAGTGCTGACGTAAGAGAGGTGACAGAAACCTTATTATATTATCAAATTAGTTTTTAAAGGAATAATATATTACACATGGTTGGTTTTGTTTCCCCATGTACATAGATGGAGTGGGGTATTTTTTTTCTAAAATTATTGGGGTGCTCATTTGTAATATGACTGTCTATTTTCAGGCATGTTATTGCAAGCATCTGATTTGCCAGTTTGTTTAAGGGAGAGTGCATTATTTTCTCTGGAACTGCCTTTTAAGGTCTGTAGCCACAGATTTGCGTTGCCATCCAGAGCCCTGGGTAGCTATTTTGATGGTGGTGGTGAGGATGGTGCATTAGCCTTTGTTAATACATCAAAGTGGCTATTTCCTTAAGGACTATATAGATATCTGAAGCTGGCTTATTTTCAAATTTATTTCATTTTGGTACTGGACAGCAGGGACAGATCAATGTGGCTGTAGAACTCTGTCCTGAGCTGCTGGGCCAAACTTACCTCCGAGGGGCAGAGTTATGGGTAGTTCTACTGGACAAAGCCCATTTTTACAAATGTTAACAGAGATGCTCATTGAAACTAGGGAGTTGAGCTCAACTGTAGCCATTATCATCCTGTGTGAACAGCTGCCTTCTGTTGCCTGTCTAAATATCTGTAGTGAGAGGGGATGAGTGGTGCGTTGTGCAAAAGTCTTCCAAGTTTATTCCTTTGGTGCTGTCAGTTTTAGCGAGTCCTAATAGTAAGCATAGGTTGAAGAGCAAATATTCCTCTAGGTTTTATTTGTGCCTTCACTATTTGACATTTGTATTTCAAATTTGAAGGAAAAATGACAAAATAGAAAACATTATACGTGCTGTTTGTTTTTTATTTTCAGTCTAGTTTCAGACGAATTTATGCTATGCACGTGTGCTATATTCCCGTGGGCCACAGGGGGGCAAGACTGAGACTTTAAACATGAAAAATGAGCGTGCCTGAGTAGTTATAGTGGGTAACGTAAATAAACTGTTTTCATTAATTACCCAGATTTGCCTCTGTCTCACATAAAGCTGCCATAATCTCACTTTAATAATGATAAATTAGACGTATACAAATACTGTCTTCAGTAACTGAGATTACATACATTATTTATAGTGGGGATATAAATCCTGCTTCAGTTTATATTGTTTTCTTTGTTGCACTAGAAGGGCTTGAGCCAAAGCCCATTAAAGCCGTTGGAAGACCTTCCCTGACTTCAGCAAGCTCTGAATTAAGAGTCTATATTTTTCAAATAAATTGTATTCTTCCTTTCTGCTCTTCTAATACTTATCTTTTAAAAATGAATTGTCAGGAAAAAAGTGGTAGTAAATATTCAGTATTATTCAAAGTAAAGTAGGATTTGGGTAGTTGTTGTTTTCCCCCTTCTTAATAATTTTTTAACCTTCCTCTCATTCCGTCACTATTTAAAGTCCTGTCCATCTGAATCCAAGCTCTCACCAGGTCA